CTCCGACTTGAACATTGGCTGGGACCCGCAAGTCATTGTATAGACCACATCGCATTCAAACGCCACGACGAATGTACAAATGGAATTAGAATGCGTACCGCATTCCAAAAGGGGATCGATCAACGACAAATGCTTTATCCTTTTATCCTTTAATGTGTTCCTATTTAATGCAAATTGCGTTTAGGTTCTTTCACTTTGTGTCGGTGCGGAATGTGCGGATGGTGCAGACACTGTGGAAAGGCGAAGGGCGTTAATAAGTTGCTTGCGCATGATTAGGAAGGCTGGTGGTTATTTTGAAAGGCACACCTGTATTCGTGCACATCACGGCATGCGCTAGCATTCCACACTGGCGCTTTGCGCACTGTTTGTATCGGCGCAAAGTATGAAAGCAGTCCTTCGTCGAGACCAATGTTCGTTTTGCACGAGACGATTAGATGGAGAAGTGGGCGAAAAGACCATTTTCTTTGGTTGTTTACTCATCTCGTTCTTCTTTTACTGGAATCGCAAACGACTGGTGACATCAAGAATGATATCTTTGACGAGGAAGTTAGGATTTTGTGGGGTGAACTGCGGTAACAAGGTTATCACCAAGAAATAGCATGGGAGAAGAAGTGGGAGGAGACTCAAAAAAATCATTGGCGCTGTTTATTGAATTCCAATCGTGTTCTCTTATAAAAACTGTTCGTACTATTGTGACGAAATGCACTTCCGCCGGAAAATGCGAAAACAAATTTTTCATAATCTTGATTGGCTTTGGTTTGTTTTTCACATGTCCTGTTTTTCCTATTATTATTATTTATCCTATTTTTCGTGTCTTCCCAGCATTTTTATGACAAGTGTCGCATGGTGAACTGCGGCTAAAAAGAGCAGTTAACAACATTCGAAAATTAGCCAAAATTGTAATATTTGCTAAATCTTTCATTCTTGCGCTTTACTACCGATTCGGTTGATAGGCTCATCATTTAGTTCTGATAAGCTGCGGTAAGTGGGCCATCGAAAGCTGGATCAAAGTGAAGCGGTGCCCTGGTGGTGTAGTCGGTAGCACAACTGCCCAGATAGCGAGAGGTGTAGGTTCGATTTCCGCCTGGAGCAAAGTGTTTTGCCCAGCATCTTTGTGATAACAATTTCCATTTTTTGCCGTTTCCCTCCAAGTTTTCCTTCTCACGGTTGCAATGGTTTTAAGAGAAAATTTCGCATTTTTACCACTTTCTATTTCAGATTTCCAAGCGCAAAATCTTTTTTCGAGCTTAATGCAATCCCTGTCACAGCTTTGAGCTGTGGTTCTAACCACACGCATAACAAATAGATGTTCAGGGGGGGGGGAATGCAAATGGATCGGGGTTTTCTTCTATCTCATGCTGTACTACTCTTCGTTTCATCTCGCTTTTCATCTCTTCCGTTGATTCGTCTTGTAATGGTAGAGCGGTGAAATTTTGCTTTCCTCCCCCGTCATCCGCTTTTCTTCAGCATGATATCATAAGTTGCATCATAATCCGTTGCAAACCGCATGATCGCGTTTTGCACCAGGCGATCACTAGAGGGAAATCTTGCAGTTTTGCTTGGGTCACCATTATCCTCAGTTCTCAATGTGTGGTTATGTAAAGGGATAAAGGATAAAGCATTTGCCGTTGATCAATCCCTTTTTGGGATGCGGCACGCATTCTACTTCCATTTGTACATTCGCAGTGGCATTTGAATGCGATGTGGCCTATATGGTGAATTGCGGGGCCAGTCGATGTTCAATTCAGTGTTTTCTATCCCCCCA